ATACCATCCTTGACCAAGTGATGTTTGGCAAAGGTACTCCACCGGATGAACAGTTTAATGTAATAGCATTATTATATCTTACTGATACAATGTGATGTGGAGTAATTATAAAATATGGAGACTCTAGAATAAAAAATTAAAAAGTAACAAATGATAGTACAAAACCAGACCTTTAATTACAAGTACATATATGTAATTGTATTTAAGACTTAAATTTTATCAAAATTGGTGCACTGACTACTGACTCAATACAAATGCAGGGAAAATGCTTTTAATTTACCTCAGTAGTCACTTCATACTATTAACATGATCATATGTACATACACTGCACACAAGTATAGCTTTGTATAAAAAACAAAACTATAGAAAACTATGATCCATAGTTTTTGACAAAAATGGCTATGAGAAAATTTTCCATTTAAAAATTTTGGGATACAAGTTTTGATGTTGTATACCTAGTTTGCTGATTTCAATCAAAATTATGTTTCTATGGATTGTAAAATTTTTTACTCCAAAAGCCTTGCAACTCTAGTATACGGTGCTTGTCAGCTCATGAAGTGTGCTTTTTGGTGACAACTATTTTATTATTTTTAAGAGAGCTGAACTGCTGTTTTAGAATAAACCATATGTGTCTGTTTTATGTAAAACATATCAGAATAAGGTCTAATTTTAATTCTAATTCTGTCTATTCCGGGCTAACTAACTAAATCCCAGGTCTAATACAAACCTTGTACATCAACACTGATTGTAGCCACTGAAGCTCCAGCAACATTAGAAGCATTACAATGATATGCTCCAGAATAAAAGGTAGTAATATTAGTAATATCCAGCCTGGTTGAGCCCTCAGTTATGAGAAACAGGGAATTATTAGTGATTACTGATGCAGCAAATGTCCATTGGATCGTCGCCTTAGGATTCCCAACCTCATTCAAAACACATCTCAGTGTTACACTTGAGCCACTCAATACAGCCACATATAGTACAGGAACTGAAACATTTGGGACAATATAATTGACTAAAATTTTAAAACCATATCAATTAAATAGGTCTTGTGAAACAAAAAATTACTTACAGTCAGTGCAGTTAATTCCCTGATAGTCAGTGCCAGTACAATCACAGGTGTAATTGGAAGGAGCTGAAACAAGTGTACAACTACCTCCATTCTGACAAGGACTCAGTTCACATAAATTTGATAGTGAACAAGTACAGGTAGTAGTGTTTAGAGTATAACCAGCTTCACAGCTATTGTTACAAACTAAAATGTAAAAAATAATTATTTATATTTGAACTATGATTCTCATACTAAAGTAGAATACTAACCAATATTTAAGTATTTGTAAACACGATATAAGTTGGTGTAAGATTGGAAACCAGTACAGTTATAAACTCCTTCATGAGTTGATTTACTTATGTTCCTTAATATCAGAGTTGAAGTTACAGTAATATCTTCACTGTAAGTGATAATGGAGACTCGACTGTTGTTAGTGAGAAAGGTATTTAAAAAATACCAGGACACAACAGGCAAGGGAAGACCAGAAAACCTGCAATATGCAGTGAAGGTACCTGACTGGTTCAGAGTTACATTGACTGAAGGAGGGACACTCCCAACATAACTAAGAGGTTCTATATACAAATAAAAAATGAGTAGATTGAAATATTTTCACTATATACACACTTACCAAAAACAGTAACATTCACTGAAGTGTTTATGATTCTGCTTTCAACTAGATCATTGAATGCTTGACAAGTATAATATCCATGTGAAGTTAATGATCCCACAACAGTGAGCATAGTAATGAGTGTATCTGATTGATTACTACTGGTATACTGATCAGTAGGTATAACTATACCATCCTTGAGCCAAGTGATATTTGATAAAGGTACTCCACCAGATGAACAGTTTAATGTAATAGCATTATTATATCTTACTGATACATTGTGTGGTGGAGTAGCTATAAAATATGGTGGCTCTAAAATATAAAAAATGACAAATGCACCCAACATGGCATTTGCATGCACCAAGTAAAATAATGGCACAAACCTTGTACATCAACATTGATTGTAGCCACTGAAGTTCCAGCAACATTAGAAGCATTACAATGATATGCTCCAGAATAAGAGGTAGTAATATTAGTAATAGCTAGCCTGGTTGAGCCCTCATTTATGAGAAACAATGAATTATTAGTGATTACTGATCTAGCAAATGTCCATTGGATTGTAGCCTTAGGATTCCCAACCTCATTCAGGACACATCTCAGTGTTACACTTGAACCAGCCAACAAAGCAACATATGATACAGGAACTGAAATATATGGGACAATATAGTTGACTAAAATATAAAAACAGATTAACTTGCATTGTGAACAGCAAAATTCTAATTACTTACATTCAGTGCAATTAATTCCTACATAGTCAGTACCAGTACAATCACAGGTGTAAATAGAAGGAGCTGAAACAAGTGTACACCTACCTCCATTCTGACAAGGACTCAGTTCACATATATTTGATAAGGAACAAGTACAGGTAGTAGTGTTTAGGGTATAACCAGCTTTACAGCTATTGTTACAAACTAAAGCAAAAAAGGAAAAAGAGAATGAATTACATGTCTATCCAACATACAACACTAACCAATGTATAAAGATTTAGAAACATTATATGTAGAGGCTTCAATACCAATACAGTGGTAAACTCCTTCATCAGTTGATTTCTTAACATTCCTTATTCTCAGAGTTGAAGTTACAGTGATATCTTGAGTATCAGTAGTAATAGAGACTTTACCAATGTTACTGAGAAACTTGTTTAGAAAATACCAGGACACAACAGGCAAGGGAAGACCAGAGAAACTACAATTGGCAGTAAAGGTATCTGACTGGTTTAAAGTTATACTGCTTGAAGGAGGATCAATCCCAACATAACTAAGAGGCTCTGTATTATTTAAAAGAGAATAAGTAACATTAGTGGTTACAAATACTTACCAAAAACAGAAACATTCACTGTAGTGTTTATGACTCTCCTCTCAACTAGATCATTGACTGCTTGACAAGTGTAATATCCATGTGAAGTTAATGATCCCACAACAGTGAGCATAGTAATGAGTGTATCTGATTGATTACTACTGGTATACTGATCAATAGGTATAACTATACTATCCTTGAACCAAGTGATATTTGGTAAAGGTACTCCACCAGATGAACAGTTTAATGTAATGGAATTATTATATCTTACTGATACATTGTGTGGTGGAGTAACTATGAAATATGAAGGCTCTAGAATTAAAATTACATTATCAAATAACTCAAATAATAGCACAAACAGACCTGTAGTCAATTACAATTGTAATTATAATTAGAGACTCAAATACCATTGCAATTTTGTATAAATGCGATTGTAGTTGAAGCTTAAACGTGAACAGACTTTTAGTTTTCATAGGCTATACTAGATACCGACTCAATACAGATACAGTAAAAATGCACTCAATCTACCTCAGTAGTCACTTCACATTATTAACACAATCATGTGTACATGCACTGTACACACGTGGACGAAAGTGTCACAATCATATAGTGCTCAACTTTCTGCCAGCTCATGAGGTGTGCTGTTTAGTTTGCTCAGTAGAGCTTTGTTGAAAACCCTTCTCCATGGTAATTTGCCAGAAACAACTAGGAAAAATTTCTTTATTCTATAATTTTTTCTGTTGCATAACATGCTCTGACATTGCATATCTATATAGTTTGAGCTGATTGCAATCAACAATGAATTTTTATGAGTTTTAAAATTATCACTTCAAAAGTTATGCACTCCAATGTAGCACTTGTCAGCTCATGAAGAGTACTGTTTTGCTCACTTAGCATACATATACGTTAATACTTTTATGACAGGTCAACTGTGGTTCTAAAACAAACCATATGTTTCTGTTTCATGCAAAAGTATATCAGAACAGGGCATAATTGTAATTCTAATTGAGTCTTTTTTAATAATTGAATGTGTATTTGTAATTGATCCCAGGTCTGGTACAAACCTTGTACATCAACATTAATTGTAGCCACTGAAGCTCCAGCAACATTAGAAGCATTACAGTTATATGCTCCAGAATAAGAGGTAGTAATGCTAGTAATATTCAGTCTAGTTGAGCCCTCAGTAATGAGAAAAAGTGAATTATTAGTGATTACTGATCCAGCGAATGTCCATTGGATTGTAGCCTTAGGATTCCCAACCTCATTCAGGACACATCTCAGTGTTACACTTGAACCAGCCAACAAAGCAACATATGATACAGGAACGGAAATATTTGGGACAATATAGTTGACTAAAATAGAGAAAAATGAATAAGTTGGCAATGGGAATCATTGCTTACAATCAGTGCAATTAAATCCAACATAGTCACTACCACAATCACAGGTGTAATTAGAAGGAGCTGAAACAAGTGTACAACTACCTCCATTCTGACAAGGACTCAGTAAACATATATTTGATAGTGAACAAGTACAGGTAGTAGTATTGAGTGTATAACCTACTTCACAGCTATTGTTACAAACTGAAACAAAAAAGGAAAAACAAAATGCATTACACGCCTATCTCAACACACAAAGCTAACCAATGTATAAGGATTTAGAAACATTATATGTAGAGGCTTGAATACCAATACAGTGGTAAACTCCTTCATCAGTTGATTTTTTAACATTTCTTATTCTCAGAGTTGAAGTAACAGTAATTTCTTGAGTATCAGTAGTAATAGAGACTCTACCAATGTTACTGAGAAAGTTATTTAGAAAGTACCAGGACACAACAGGCAAGGGAAGACCAGAGAAGCTACAATCGGCAGTAAAGGTATCTGATTGATTCAAAGTTATACTGCTTGAAGGAGGATCAGTCCTAACATAACTAAGAGGCTCTGTATTATTAAAATAAGAATCAGCAACAACAGTTATCACACATGCTTACCAAAAACAGTAAGATTCACAGTAGTGTTTATGACTCTCCTCTCAACTAGATCATTGACTGCTTGACAAGTATAGTATCCATGTGAAGTTAATGATCCCACAATAGTGAGCATAGTAATGAGTGTATCTGATTGATTACTACTGGTGTACTGATCAGTAGGTATAACTATACCATCCTTGAACCAAGTGATATTTGGTAAAGGTACTCCACCAGATGAACAGTTTAATGTAATGGAATCATTATATCTTACTGATACATTGTGTAGTGGAGTAACTATGAAAAACGAAGGCTCTAGAATTAAAAGTACATTATCAAATAACTTAAGTAATATATAATAGTACAAACCAAACTTGGGGTCAATTACAATTTTAATTATAATTAGGCACTCAAATACCATTGCAATTTTGTATAATTGCAATTGTAGTTAAAGCTTAAACCTGAACAGAATGTATTTAGTTTTCATAGTTTATATCAACTCAATACAGATGCAGTAAAAATGCACTCAATCTACCTCCGTAGTCACTTCACATTATTAACATGATCATGTGTACATTTACTGTACACATATAAACGAAAGTGTGACAATCAGGGTTTCCCAGTATAGTGCTTAGCTTCTTGCCAGCTCATGAGATGTGCTGTTTAGTTTGCTCAGTAGAGCTTTGTTGAAAACCTTTTCCATGGTAGTTTGTCAAAAACGAATAGGAAAGAATTTTTCATTTTTATAATTTTTTCTGTCGCATAACATGCTCCGACATGCATATCTAGTTTGAGCTGATTGTAATCAACAATGAATTTTTATGAGTTTTAAAATTATTACTCAAAAAGCTATGCTCTCCAGTGTAGCACTTGTCAACTCATAAAGTGTACTGTTTTGCTCACTTAGCTTGCTTTATGGTGACATTTGTGTTATTACTTTTATGACAGCTGAACTGTGGTTCTAAAACAAACCATATGTTTCTGTTTCATGCAAAAACATATCAGAACAGGACATAATTGTAATTCTAAATGAGTCTATTTTTACGCATTGAATGTGTATTTTTAATTAATCCCAGATCTGGTACAAACCTTGTACATCAACATTGATTCTAGCCACTGAAGATCCAGCAACATTAGAAGCATTGCAATGATATGCTCCAGAATAAGAGGTAGTAATATTAGTAATATCCAGCCTGGTTGAGCCCTCAGTTATGAGAAACAGTGAATTATTAGTGATTACTGATCCAGCAAATGTCCATTGGATTGTAGCCTTAGGATTCCCAACCTCATTTAGGACACATCTCAGTGATACACTTGAGCCAGCCAACAAAGCAATATATGATACAGGAACAGAAATATTTGGGACAATATAGTTGACTAAAGTATAAAAAAACAGATAAATAATTGGCAATGTGAACAGCAAACTTTTAATTACTTACATTCAGTGCAATTAATTCCTACATAGTCAGTATCGGTACAATCACAGGTGTAATTAGAAGGAGCTGAAACAAGTGTACAACTACCTCCATTCTGACAAGGACTCAGCTCACATATATTTGATAGTGAACAAGTACAGATAGTAGTGTTTAGAGTATAACCAGCTTCACAGCTATTGTTACAAACTATACAAAATGCAAAATAAGAAGTAAATTCATGTAAACGTATGCATGTCTATCTCATACAATAGCTAACCAATGCATAAGGATATGTAGGCAGTATATGAAGAGGAACCAATACAGTGGTAAATTCCTTCATCAGTTGATTTATCTACATTCCTTATCGTCAGAGTTGAAGTTACAATAATCTCTTCACTAGAAGTGGTAATGGAGACTCTACTGTTGTTACTGAGATAAGTAAAGTTATTTAGAAAGTACCAGGAAACAACAGGCAAGGGAAAACCAGAGAAGCTACAAATGACACTAAAAGTATCTGACTGGTTTAGAGTTACATTGCTTGTACTCCCAACATAACTTATAGGTTCTAAATGCAAAACAAAAATGATGAGACTCAATAAATTTTCATTATTTACATACCAAAAACAGTAGCATTCACTGAAGTGTTTATGATTCTCCTCTCAACTAGATCATTGACTGCTTGACAAGTATAGTATCCATGTGAAGTTAATGATCCCACAACAGTGAGCATAGTAATGAGTGTATCTGATTGATTACTACTGGTATACTGATCAGTAGGTATAACTATACCATCCTTGAACCAAGTGATATTTGGTAAAGGTACTCCACCAGATGAACAGTTTAATGTAATAGCATTATCATATCTTACTGATACGTTGTGCGGTGGAGTAGCTATGAAATATGGTGGCTCTATAAGAAAAAAATTCCATTGAAAATTATGTTAATGCTACTTGCACACACAAACCTTGTACATCAACATTGATTGTAGCCACTGAAGCTCCAGCAACATTAGAAGCATTACAATGATATGCTCCAGAATAAGAGGTAGTAATATTAGTAATATCTAGCCTGGTTGAGCCCTCACTTATGAGAAACAGTGAATCATTAGTGATTACTGATCTATCAAATGTCCATTGGATGGTAGCCCCAGGATTCCCAGCATGATGTAACACACATCTCAGTGTTACACTTGAGCCATTCAGCACAGCCACATATGATACAAGAGCTGATATATTTGGGGCAGCAAAGCTTGCTAAAGATATAAAAATCATAAAAACAACCCCATTAGATATTGCTTACATTCAGTGCAATTATTTCCTTGACATGTATTCTGTAGGACACAAGTACAAGTAGCAGCGTCAAGTGCATAATTAACTTCACAGAGTAGAAAACAGCCTGTAAAAGAATGGAGTTTACTTATATAAAGCACAAGAACTATGCAGAAGTATTTTTATTATAAAAAATACAACTCTTGCAGAG